AAAAAAAAAAAAAAAATGTGACGGTTGTGATGAATATTTTTACTGTTACGTGGATAGTAAAATTTTTGATGGGAAAATGGGTTAGGTCGGGTACCTGATCCAACCTGTAATATTTGGGTCAGATTATCAAATTCATGAGTTAAGCTGGCAGATATAAGATGGTTTTATACATATACAGTATTTCAGTATTTGAAATTTAAATTAGCATATTAAAATGACTATCATGCAATATAATCTGGTAAATTATAAATTTGGCTCGAGTTAATATATATTCTTACCGCAAACTATAATTATCCGATTATTTACATGGATAAACGGATAAGCTGGATAATATCAATAATATCAGATAATATAAAACCATCCTATTCAGTTTAATGGATTGGATCAAGACAATTACCCGATTTAAGTCATCTAACCAAATATATCCTAATTATTTTTATTATGCTACGTGTAATCACATTTGTAATCAATTCTCTAAAAAAATAATATTTCTACAAAGTTCTGTCTAATTATTAATACAGTCAAACCGGCAAATCGATCACGTGCCAATGATTTTTTTTTTGATGTCATGACGTTATGATTCCAATTTTTTTTTGCGAACAAACAAATGGCTGACATAACACTATTTTGTCTTATTCAAGGAAACGCAAACGCACTTCCTCAAGCTTTTTCCTTAAGTATTAACAGAAATGAAGATATTGGCCAACTAAAGAAAGCTATTAAAGCGAAAAAAATATCTGATTTTAAATTCTTTGATGCGAATAGGCTTCGGATATGGAAGGTTCAAATTTGCGCTGATAATGATAAGGAGCTAAGTGAACTTACACTCCATAACAATGAACAACTCCTCGCAAAAATGAAGGTTAATAGTTATTTCACCGACAAGCCACTCGACAATCACATTCACATTGTTGTCAAACCACTTGAGCTGATACATATTAGTCTTAAGCTTGTACTTGAAGCGGGACTTTTGAGAGAAGGAGGGAGTGTAGAATACCTAGGCAGATATCGTATCTATAGAGCAATGTTACATGAGAGATATCTTTGTACTGAAGGTGAAAAATATTTTTCATTTACGGAATTTATACAAGTAGCAAGGAAATTAAAACCTGACGAAACACCTACTCCTTACGATTTTCAGAACCTAAAAATCAACGGTATGACTTATCAGGAAGTCCGAGATAAGATCTATAAGTTTGTTTCTTATATGTATGAAGATAGTCTCTTCGTTGATCATTTTTCAATTCCTTGGGATGATGATCTTGAGAATCGCCTCCGCCAGTTACATTCGGAGAAAGACGTCGTGGACATATTCTGGGATCGAAGTCTTAAAGAAGACGATACAACTTGGCGTGTATACGTGGTTTTTCGTGATATTCCTTACCTACGCAAAAGGACTGAGACTGTCATGGAAGATCAAATGATTCGTTTCATAACAGTAGAGGAAGGGTTTGCTAATGCTAAAATTCAACAATGAAGTCTTCACGATTCGCAGTCTACCTTAAAAGAGATCCCAAAAAAATTGCAGAAGGCTTTTGATGAAGCCTTAGATAATGAGCTGGGGCAATCTTTCTGTGAAATGCATTATAATCTGGTCGGCGTGAGCACCGGTTATAAGCGAATTCAAGGCAAGCTTACTGAAATCCCTGCTATCATATTATATGTTCGCCAGAAGGGCATTCTGCGCCGTGAGTGTGACAAATTCCTGGATGAAATTCGTGAGTATCCAGTAGACGTTGTTGAGGCTTATTTTGCAATTCCTTATGGTTATGGTGTTACTTCTTGCCAAGCTTATCAGAAGGATGTTGGTTTAAGGTCAAGTATAGGAATAACTGAATCTCAGGGAACGTCTGGAACTCTCAGCGCTGTCGTGCGTGATAAAAAATCAGGACAAATGGGCATCCTTTCATGTGAGCATGTATGTAAGTTTTGTGAATCGAGTACTGGAATAGGTACTGTAATCCATCAGCCTTCGCATAAAGATCTAGATAATTTGATACAGTCATTTGTTGAATTGGAAGATAAAAATCTGGCATTCAAAAAAATTTCAGAAGATTCACGTAATATGATTAATAATGACAGGCAGAATTTGGCTATAACATGCTATGAATGTGGTATGCGAAGCAACTTCTTCTCTAAAGTACATCAGAAGAACTTTGGCGTTGATACTGCATTTTGTATTTTCAATAACTTCAATCATAAATTATGCTCAAACCAATTTGCAATTTCCCAAGATCTCTTCAAAAAGGCAAATCTTCCTGGAAATACCTAACTAAATGGCTTTTATACATACGAAGAATTTAAAAATTTTGATGATGAATTTGGTGTCTTTAAAGTAGGAAGAGCTACGGGCCTTACTCTTGGAAAATATCTTCTTATTGACTCTGCTATTTCCATTGATCTAACAAACGAAAGCATAAAATTTGCAAAATTTGCAGAAGAGCAGGGAGAGCAAGGCCAAATTCCTCTCCATAATAGCTATCACAAAGAAATATTCATCGGATACATGAAGTCACCATTGATCCAAGAAATTGATAAAAAGTGTCAGAAATGTTATCCTACCGTATGGTTTGATCAACAATTAGTATTTAAATTCAATTGTGAAGACTTTGAGCCTGAAGATTCGGGAGCGAGTGTTGCAGACAAAAAAGGAAGAGCTCTTGGTATCCTTCATGCGGCATGGGTTACAGAAAATTTCAGATACGCCATTGCCTCTCTTTACTTTGCTGTTTTTGAGACACTTGATGTAGTAGAAATTATGGAATAACCGCCTGTAACCAAAATATTCTTGATATTTTGGTGATTTGTGATACTCTACACATATTTACCAGCTCCAATATTCCAAATCGGTAAAATATGGTAAATAAAATTTATTTGCTATTATCCTGTACCCGTTTAGAAAGAACATTAAAATATTTTAACTTCAAATATGGCAAGAATTAAAATTTTAATATTTTTATATTTTAACATCGTATTTTATTATAAAGTTTTAATAAACAAATACAAAAATGCAAAAAAAATTTTACAGAAACTTTAAACTAAAATACTTTTATTTACTTAAGTTAATTAAATAAATTTAATGTCTAATATTCCTACACCTGCTGAACAATTCAGTTTAGTTAATAAAGAGCTGAAATTATTCATAAAATAAAAAGTATATACGTACACAGTAAATTGAAACAATATCTTGATAATGTTATCACTAATTTAGTTTGGAGTGATAACTAATTAGGATACAAATAAAGTAGTATTGTACATGGGACATTGTATGTCTGGCGATTTTTTTGTGTCAAATAATCCATGTCTGCGTCTATAGCCTGAATACAGACAAGCTGTTAACCCAACTTTAAAAAACTTTTGACTGGAATAAACAAGAAAAACGGCTGGCAATAATGTCCCAGACATGAAATTATACTGTAGCGGATATGAACCAGACTGTCCAGTCCCATGACAACATTGCTCATAAGTATAGTTATATACCATTTTATTCTAAAAAAAACTCCATAACAGATAAAACCAACATATAATTTACATAATTCTATATGGGATACTTATAAAAAAATGACAAGTATTAATTGTTTTTTCAAATTGTTTTTTCAAATTTAACCTACATCTCATTTTTATTTTTCCCTATAAAAATTCCATATTTTTTCTGTAAAGGGCTCATATTTCCGGAATTAGTAACCTTATATCATGGAATTTATTGAATAATTACATTTTCTGTGAATGGATCCATAAAAGGCTCATTCTTACGGGTTTTTACAGAAATAACGGACAAAATTCTTTACAGTCGTCTCTCGTTATAACGAATTTTGATATGTATTAGTTATTTACTGATCTAGTTTAGTATATAAATAGGTTGGATGATAATCCATTTAAATACTACTAGATTAATAAATACTGTATTCTTCCGTTTTTAAGCACCACCTGAATTTAAGCACCACCCCAACTTTTGCCAAAAAAACTTGAAAAACAAAAATAAGCCTCACCTTAAATTTGAAAATTTTTTATATTTTATTCAAAATAAATTTTATTTTTATGATGCATCATTTTACAATTCATCTAATTCATCAGCTGAATCACTATCTATATCTACAATTTCCCTTTCATTTTTATCAATTTCCTCCTCTTTTTCATCTTATCCAAACAAATCATCTTCTGACCCATCTATTGCATTACAAATATGACTAAAAGCGCAAAAAAAAGTGTAAAAAAAAAACTTCTGATTTTAAGCACCACCCTAAACTTTGCAAAAATTTTCCCCTAAAAAGGTGGTGCTTAAAAACGGAAGAATATGGTAACTTTTTTATCATCCTGGATTTACTAATTAGTCCGCCAGTTTATAAATGGCGGAAAAAATCCTAAATACCAATTAGTAGCCAGGTGATAAAATGAATTATTTGGTATAACAAATCTTTAGTGTTGTACCAATTAACATATGCAAAAAATTTGCTATAACGAATATTACTAATTAAATGCTGTATACTGTTTAACGAAGTAAGTTTTTAAAATAGTATTTTGTTGATTTTCACGAAACTTTTCAAGTAAAGCTAAAATAAATTGTAACAAAAAAAAATTATAAAAAAAATCCAATAAATCTACACAATATTTTGTTAATAATTAATATTCTTTACCTTCTTTTGCAGTTTTAAAATTATTATCCTCTTTGTCCATTATTTGTTTATTATTTTCATTTATACATGAAATTTGAGAATTTACTATTTCTGCTGATTTTTCATTAACTGATAATAAAATGCAAATATTTAATAAATCTTTAAAAATCAATGAACAGCAATATCAATATACCCAAAGTCAACTGCTCATGAACTTTATTCATTAACTGTCCAATAATCTCATTTTTTTTATTATCAGTAGGTAAAGTGTATGATGATAATCCAGCATCAGATCTATGGCGAGATATTAATTTAATATCTTCTTTTAAAATTCCCATTTTTTTACAATTTTGAATAAGTGCACGATGTTCAGAGTGGTTAGTAATCTTCCTTCCATTAAGATTTATGCCAGTAATTTTACAAATTTCATTTAAAAAAGAATTTAATCTTTTAGATCCTACATGATTTGGCTTATACCAGACATCAGTTCTTAATGCTAATGTATTAATAATAAAATAAATCAATTTTTAGTGTTAATTAAAATATTAATAATTTGAAATATTACCAAATTGTTCTTCAATTTCTTGAAGGTAAAAATCAGGTTCTGTATAATGAGGACGTAATGATAAATATTGATCAATAAATGGAGTAATATCTGGATGGCTTGGTAAGGTTAATTTATCTGCCTTTCCTTGGTTTTCAGTAAAACCATGTTGATTATTCTTAGAACAATAAATAAAAACAGTGTATCCATCATCTTCACTTTTAAAAAAATCAGTTGCATTAAGTAATGTATGTTCTCCACCACGAAGTTCAAGATAAATTGCATTTATAAAAAATACTTTTCTTAACAATCTTTCAGGCGTGGAGCCATCTAACAATCTATGATTTAAAATTTGGGTTATTTCATCAGCTTCTAATGAGTCTGATCCTTTGGTTTTACCTTTGCCATTATTAGAAAGATATCTAATCTTTCCATCTACAACTTTTCTTATCTTTTTAAAATGAACATCATTATATAAATCAATACTTTTAATTTTTGAATTATCTTGAAGAAGCGGTTAATAGCTGCAAAAGAAGCTCTAACAGAATTAACAGAATAGTCAGAACCATCTTTTTTACTCATATTAGCAAAATAAGAACACAATTGTTCAATTAAAACTTGTTCATTTTCTACTTCTTGAATTTGACCAATGTATAATTATTCTTTTCGAAACTTCTCTAACAAACCCATTCAATTATTTGTCACGTTAACTGTATTTTTAATTTTTGAAAATTCATGATAAAATTCAACTTTTTCTTTTAGAGAAGCAGAAGTTTTCAAACTATCCTAAAACATAAAATATAGATATTGTTAGAAAACAAAAAAAAAAAAGCAAAATAAAGCAAAATAAATTAAAGGTGTACAATACCCTATTTCTTTTACTTTTCAAATTTATTTGCTTCGTTTGTGACATTATAGTTAATATAAGTATGAAAGAAAAGAAACAGAGAATAAAATAGTTTAAAAATAGTTCAAAAATAGCTTAAAATATTATTCTCGCACTATGTATGATATAGTAATGATGTCATAAAAGCATGATCATCAGTGTTTACATAATAACACAGTTATTGGGTATGGTAGTTAAAATATCATTTGAACTGCTACGCAGTTTGGTGATATTTCAACCACCCTACCCAATAACTATTATATATGTGATTCAAAATGTAATTCTGGCTATAAAGAGAGCACTTGGTGAAAGATTTCACTACACTAATATGGAATTGAAGAAAGTTTTTCAGAATTATCATCATCATTAAAAAGACACTTACATTTTGTCATTGAATTCTCAGAAACAAAAAGCAAACAGATAAAAAATGGGTATAAACAGTAGAAGGAAAGATGTAAGTACAACTTTACTTTAGGTTTGAAATAAGATAATGGTACTTTTTATTGAATATCATTATCAACGTCTTATATCTTACTAACATTTTATGTATTTATATTATTTTTGTTGCAAAAATAAAAGAAAGACATCAAAGAGGATTGAAGTGTATGATAAATATCAAAGATCAAATGCTCACAGATTTAGAATTTAGCAATTTGATCAAGGATTTAAGAGAAATCAGTAATGATTCAAATTACCATTCAGATGAAGTTTCAGAAATAGATGAAGAAGAAGGTTTGTGTTTTCTGTGTATAATAGTTGCTATTATTATTGGAATACTAACACTTTACGATATTATTTTTTCCTTTTACATAAACTCAAGAAGAGAAAAATATAAAGATTCATCCATCTAGGAATGAAAATACGAATCATGTTTTTCATGTATACGATAAAAAGTAGAGATCGTAAAGGGTGAAACATATGCTGAATTATTACATTGTATTTTTTTCAATTACTTACATAACTAAACTTTTTAGTTGCAGATTCTCTTGCGACATGCTAATAAAGTAGGTGAAGCCATTCAGAACTTAAAAATAGTAAGAAAATAATGATATAACAATCAAATATACATAGATAATTTCAAGCCACTTTGTAATGCAGGCTATTTCATCTTTCTACCAGTCTGAATAATAAATATTTTTTTATTTTACCAAATACCAAGTAAGTTTTTTATTTGTTCGTTAATATTTTATAATAATTAGTTTATTGATAATTATTTTAATTTTTTTCAAGTAGATTCTATAATATAAATGAAATAAATAAATCGGAATCAAGCAAGATTTAAACTTACTACTTCGTATTTGTAATAACAAAAGTTGAATATAATATAGCAATTTATTTATTATAATTTAAATAGAATAATATTATATGCAATATTTAATTGTAAAATAAAATACTACAGTGCATACAATTTAGTCCTAGCAATTAAATTTGATGAAATTTAAATCACTACTATTCATTCAAAAAAAAAGATAAACATAAAGTATAAACGTACAATAATAAACCAGATTAAGCTTAATAAAACTATGTTTTTAAATTTCCTGTAAAGTATTTTTTAATAAAGTAGTAGCAATTCAAAGTTGAAATATTTTACTATTAAATTAAATATTTGGCCGTTTTATTCTGACCAGAATTACATTTAAGTCTGGCCAAAATTACTTTCGTTTAATTATTAACTATGTAAATTTGGCTAGAATTAAGAATTATAACTTAAATTAAATAAATTTGACCAATAAAATTACAGGATTAGTATTACATAATATAAAAAATTTGGCCGCTTAAAAATTTTTTTGTTGGGACTAGGTTGTATGCACTGTATATTTATTTAAATTAAATTTTCATGATTTTATTAATATACGATTTACAACTGATATTCAAATGATATACACCTGATTTATTGAAATATTATAGTCATATCGGAATGCTTAGATCAGTTCCTCCTAGTTTTGTCATTGAACTTATCCAATATTCTTTAATCTGATAGCCATATTATTTATCTCTGATTTACGCTAAAAGTCAGTTAAATTTCATATAGGCCTGCCAGATTCTATTCAAAGCAAAATCAATGGAAAAACATAAGGCTATCAGGTGATGAAAAATCATCTGATAGCTTTTTATTCGACCTGTATGTATTAAATAAAATTAAAATAGTTTGCTATAAGAAGTGATAATTTATATCTTTTTATTATTTGATATTTTTTAAACTTTTTGTAAATGATTTACAATCTGGAAAATTTGTAACAATAAAATATATGTAAAAGGAAATTTTCTTTAAGTAATTTTTTTATGAAATAATTTACCTAGAAATTAGACTTTATAATTATATTCTTGAAGTATAATTTAAAAATCAAATATATTAAGTAAATAATGAATATTTCCTTCAGAATCTTATATTTATTAATATTTACTTCAAGTTATCATATTGGAATTAAGAGTAGAATTTTTTGCAATATTTCATTTTATTAAATTTTCTCAAATTATCATTTCTAGATTATCAAGTAAAGTAGGATTTTATCATTTAATTCAAAATTAATTAAAATTAATAAATAATTATGAATCTTGAATTATAATATTATTACAAAATTTTTTAAGCTTACGGAATTAAAAAAAACTGCAATATTTATAGTATATTAAAAAATTAAATAACTTTTTAATATTACCTGATATAGCAAATATGAATTTATGTCAAAAATCTTTAGAGCTAAAAAATTATATAAATTAGGTAATATATTGGGGCTAAAGAAAATTAAACAGATCTCTTATAATCTATAGTAATAAGGTTATTAATTCTCTTGTCAAGTAGTATCAATATAAAATTGCTTTTTGATTAAACTTATTAGCTTTCTAAAGTTATGCAAATTATATTTTATGTGATATTTGAAGATGGATTCTGTTCTTCTAAAGTTTGATCTGATGTAAATATATGTGTAGGTGATGATAACTGTTGCTTCAACTCCTTACTTCATATCATATAACTCTGATCGTAAAGAATCTTCACAGTTTTAAAATTACATATTAATTTGGATGCATTAACTGCAGTTGCTTTGATAAGACGCAAGATGCTGATCTTATTTTCTCAGAACTAACCTCATAAAATTGTAATAAATCTTGCTTATCTTGCTCTGAAATTATTCAAATTAATATGCCCATAACTTCAAAAATTTTAGTCATATTTTGAAAAATTACAAGTACCTCTTTAATTTCTCTACTTTTTTTTTCGCCTCCTCTTTTTAATCTCATTATTAATGCTTTTTTTATATGCTTCATTTAAGAAATTGACTATTTTCTCATCATTACCATTAAGGTCACTAGATGTTTATCCTACTTCATTATTAAGTTGATTTATCACAGAATCAGATACATCAACAGTTAATACCATTATCACTGATATTGCTTGTATCTGACCAAATGATAATACCATCCCATCTACTGCTAAACTCTGTTCTAATAATACAAGTCTAGCCTCAAGCTCTTTGACTCTAAACTTGAATTTAACATTTATAGCATCATGTCTTGCATCCTTTTCAATAATTTGCTTCAGCCTCGCATTTTCAGTCTTAACCTTAGCAAATCTTAGTAATTTCTCTCTAAATTCAGAAATCTCAGCACTTTTCTTTTTAGGCTTTGCAATTTCAACTAAAAGCTTGGAATTTACAGTGGTAAGCAAAATTATTTAGAAAACTTTAAAGTGAATTTACATAACAACTAGTGATTATATTTGCAAATAGTTTAATATATTTAAAAGTGCAATGCCATAAGATTTAAACTATATACAATTTAAAACTTATTCTTTCTCCCTTTACCCTAATAATTTCCTTATAACTTAATTTTATTAATTTAATAAAATATTTATATCTTTATTAGAAATAAAATTTTCATTCCTTAACATTCAACATTTCTGAATTTCCCAAATTTAATAGTTTTCATATTCTTAGATTTCTGTTAATAAGCTTTTACAGTTTTTTGACCAGATTATAATGTATTATTTCTAACTATCCAACAGTTTCTTCATAATTCCAATTGTAAGAATTAGCAAGCAAATAAAAAAGAATTTGTCATTTCTAATACTTTTTCAGTTAAATTATTGGTCATTATCATAAAATTCTACCTAATGTATTGGCCTATAATATTTTTTTGATATTTGTGTCATTTTTAGTTGATTTTTACTAGGTATTTAAGCCATATTTTCCCATCCTCCAATTGTTTCAAAATTTTTTAAAACATAATAAAAATTTCACTCAAATACTGCACTTCTTTGATCCATAATCATGAATTTATTTTTTGCTATCATTTTTCAATAAAATCTTTTATTTCAGAGTTATTTTTTCTTAAAAAGTCTTATATAAAAGGTTGTGTAAAGAAAGAATATTTATTTCAGCGTTAGATTAAGTATATTGCAACATGATTTGCAAATTTTTTACAAGTCACTACACGTGACTGAAGTCACGTGAAATTTCTCCTGCTCGCCACTGTAATTCTCTCAATGAATCAATGAATTGCATGTTCAATGATAATTTTTTTATATGAGATGGTAAGTTCGTTAGCATAGATAAAAAATGAGATAATATCCTTATCTGAATTACTGATTTATCGATGTAAAAAATAGATTACAAGATTGCCAGTATTTTGTTCATCTAAAGCTAAATACTAACACAATATCCATTAACTCTAATCCGATTTTATTTGTCCCAACGTCGATATTCTGGATAGAATAAAATGGTCGTCAGTTATGTTTTGAAGAGTAAGAAATAAATTAACAAAATTGGCATTAGTAAAACTCAGCGAAAGTTTATGATAGTAAAATTGTCAATGAAAGAAGAGAAGATAGGAAGCACGAATTATTGGAGTTATTCACTGAGGAAGCCAGGCAAAAATAGTGATTTAATTATTTAAGCGTTTTGGAAAAAGAGGTTTCTCCATCTAATAAGGGCCTCGCTACCCAATAACAAGCTAACACTTCAAAGAATTTTCTGAGCAAAAAAATAGTACAAGCTCTGAGTCGTTTGCACAGCCATACGGAAAAATATATTTTATTCATACCTTAATCTCGTCTGGACTTCAATAATTTTTTCGTCAACACTTCAAACTACAATAGGCCGGTTTTTTTTTTAAGATGGCCAGAGTAAAGTAAATCATTACATCATTAGAGTGTTACTGCGCTTTATTAATTTATTCAAATACGGCCACTTGTACCGTTATATGACCTAAAAATGAGGAATCTTAACAATGATTTTGTCATATAGTCACGTGCTGACATGTTTACGTTTTTTATTATGTTTCTGAGGGACAGTTTTTTTTACTAGCCTGATCTCTATTTGTCACTTCACCTGTACTACCACATTTAAAGTACTATTTATATTGGGACAGGGTAGTGTGGTAAGATTCCCCCCTAAAAATTAGTTAAACTTTTTTTAAATAAATATCCTGAGAATTCGTCAGAGAATCAAAATCAAATAATTAGAATGATAAAACCGTTTTTTCACATTGATAAATTACTTTTTTTTTTTGCTATATATCATCAATCAAGAGTTTATTAGAGTCTATTTATTATTAGTCACGATGTATTCAAAAAAGTATATATACACCTTCAAACTTTCTTAAGCTTTCTCAACTTTTCATTTTCTTTTTAAGTATTATTAAATAGAATGAATGTATTTCTCAAACTTTTTTTCATTCTAAACTAACAATTGCTCTTATCACTTTTAAAAAGAAATATCACCAAAATGGTTTTTTCGTTAAACTGTATTATTCTAGATGACACTACTACGTTCCCGATTACTCTTGGCAAGATATTCATCTTAGATAATATACAATATGATATTAGCGAGTTTAGAATTTCAAACCTCAAGCGGTATATCTTTTCTAAGAAAAAAGAAAGTAAACTTAGTGGTATTAGTGATCCTGATGATTTGAACCTTTGGCAGGTTAATGTCAGTAAAGACAAGCTTGAAGGTGTTTATACTACAGAGCACATAACAAATGAACTCAAAGGCAAGAAGATGGACGAGGTGGATTTTATTACTAACTATTTTGATGTTAATCATCGACCTGACAAGAACATTCATATTATCGTAGTCCCTTTCACTTCCACTGGTAAGTGTCTCCCAACGTTTTACCTCTCGAACAAGAAATTTGTGATCTTTTTTTATTAACTAGCTTGTTTCTATATTTTTAGATTACCTATATAAAAGACCAAGGCTTGATTTTAATAACATTCCTTTAGATTTAGGACAGTCTCCTACACAACTTTTACATACTGGCGGATGTTCTTGGGATTATCAAGAATCATCTGAGTTGGAACAAGAATTAAGAAAAGAAGTTCAGGGGCTATATAACGTTTTCAAAGAAAATAAATGTGAAAAAACAAACACACCAATCTTTTTAATGACATCTGGTGCCTGATGTGGTAAATCTCGTAATGCTACAGAGTTACCTAAAATTCTCTGTAAAATATTCAAAGATGATCCAGAATTGGAATCTCGTTTTCAAGAAGCACTCATTATCAATATCTCTTTTGAAAATGATACAAGAATCAACATGAAAGAAGAACGCAATGCAAATGATGTAATTGCTAAACGAATGCTATACCAGCTTCAGAATCAAGGCCTCCACTGGGTCAATATTCGTGATGATAAGCAGTCCCTTTCAATTATTAGTATTCTTAAGAGATGTGCTAAAGAAAAAAAAGTAGCAATAAAGAAATTAACTGTGATCCTCATTGTTGATGGATTACAAACTGCTCTAATTAACCCAGATGATGTCATGAAAAAGGATTCGTTATTTTATTCTTTAATGACGGAGATATCCCTTCTTGTCATAAATAAACAATCACCCTTGATTATTGCATGTTGCACAGCAACTTTAGCACGTCCATTCCATGAAATAGTGCAAGTTTCTCATCAAAAGCGAGTTTTTCTTCAAATTCGTTCTTTAGATTCTCCCAAAAAAAAGAACGAGCCAGTCTTTAAAAATACACCTCTCCTTAATATGTTAGTAAGTGATATGGGCGGAAATGGCAGAGCATTAGAAGCACTTCAATCAGCTATAGAAGGGGTAGATTTTGAAAATTCCAGCTTTCTTTCAATTGCAGAACAAGTATATTATAAACTTAAGGATCACTATAGTGAATGGATTAGTTATACTTGTTATCTAATACCTGTTCTTCGAGCTATTATGATGCACACCAAGTTGGTGTTATCAGCTCATATTCCTGGCACAGATATTTTACCAGAAGAACTCTCAAAACTAGGGCTGGTCAAATTGGAGAAACAAGATGATCTGAGTGATAAAGGAATTTTAACATGTCCATATATCTGGTTGTGGCTAATGGCAAATGCATCAGGTGATAGTATTCTATGTAATTGGAATTTTAAGTATTATAGTGAAATTCAGAATAAGGAGGACCCAACCATTCCTCCTGGTTGTCAATTTTGGCAACATTTCAAACATTTTATTGCCTCTTTTCGTGTCCTTAAATCAAATGTATTTGAAATTAATCAAGAAATAGAATTACAAGATATTCATACTGGCGCAAGACATAACTTTGGCTCAGCTACCATTAGGAACGTACCACTATTATTGAAGAAAGCTATCCGGCGAGAAATTACCAAATCAAGTGCCTATTCTACCAATAAAATGGTAACTTGCAAGGAAGGTGATGATCAAATTGATATTGATCTCACAGATGCATCTGTCTGCATTATCAATGAATGGAGTGCACCTGCTGGTGATTCATTTTGTCCAATTTATCTTGCAGGCTCTACTCAACAGTTTCAGAATACAGTATTTCATACAGAATGCCATCAATATAAGTCAACAATAGTGAACCAAACAACGTTTAATGAGGAGTATAAAAAAGCAAGTGATAAAGGGGATGTTTTTTTACTTTACACTTGTGGGCCTTCCAATTTACCGAATTTACCACTATTGTCTGCTATTGTTGACTGTAATAATTGGAAGTTGTATTTTGGTCCCTTTGTAGGAAGGGCATTTTTCTTAGCGCGAAGTGATAAATTCAACATCAACAATTGCTCAAAATCTGAGATGACATCAATCTATGGGATAGGCTCTAAATGTGCTGATATTTTGATGAATAATAGACCATATTGTGATTTAGAAGATTGCATTGCCAGAACTAATATTTCCCGTAACTTCTTGATTAATTTCCAATTCAGCGCAACTCCTTCATCAACTTCACCAAACTAATAGTAACTTAGTGTTTCTTGCACTAAACTATAGAGCCAAACTTAGTGATGGCTGGCTAAACATGATGTTTGTACTTAATGATTTCTGCAATTATTTATAATGCTTTTAATACATTCTGCTGAACTAATCATTAGATTTTAAAGTACACTATATTTATGTTTTCAAAATTATAGCTTTATGTTGATCACACCTTAAAATTTATTAATAAAATATATCTTAAAATTTATATGTTAATTTACAATACAACTTATAACTAGAGGTTAGAATTGAAATCGGTTATCGGATTTATAACTGGGTTTAACCAATTCGAAATTTAACCAGTTTACAATTCGGTTAACTGGTTATATTCAAACCAGTTTAAATCGATTAACTGGTTATATTCAAACTGGTTTAAACTAGAGCTCTGAACAGGTCAGCCAAATTCAGATAACCTGACCTAACCTGACCTGAAATTCAGGTCAGGTATGAAGATTGGCCTGACCTGATTGACCTGTTGACCTGAAACTATTGATTCTACTATATAATAAAAGTGAGTTGCAGTATTGCGATTCACTTTTTTATATTGATTTTATATAATAAAAGTGAGTTGCGATATTGCGATTCACTTTTTTATATTAATTCTATATAAAAAAGTGAATCGCAATACCGCAACTCACTTATTAATATAAAAAAGTGAATCGCAATATCGCAACTCACTTTTTTATATGATTTTAATATAAAAATGTTGAATCACAATATTTCGAGAAAAAATGTTGTGAAAACGTTTTTTTCATAATATTATATTAAAAAAATATTTCGTAACATTTTTTTTTAATATTTCAATAATAACGTTGCGAAAACATTTTTTTCATAATGTTATATTAAAAAAAACATTTTGCAATATTTTT